GAGACACAGAGATATAGAGAGAGAGAGAGACAGAGACACAGAGAGAGGGACGGAGAGTGAAACAGAGACACAGAGATAGAGATATAGAGAGAGAGAGACAGAGACACAGAGATATAGAGAGAGAGAGAGACAGAGACACAGAGATAGAGAGAGAGAGAGAGAGACAGAGACACAGAGATATAGAGAGAGAGAGACAGAGACACAGAGATATAGAGAGAGAGAGAGAGACAGAGACACAGAGATAGAGAGAGAGAGAGAGACAGAGACACAGAGATAGAGAGAGAGAGAGAGTGACAGAGTGGGGAAGAGAGAGACTCAGATAAAGACAGACAGAGATAGAGAGAGAGAGTGAGGGAAATATAGAGTGAAACAGAGACACAGAGATAGAGATATAGAGAGAGAGAGACAGAGTGGAGAAGAGAGAGAGACAGATAAAGACAGACAGAGATAGAGAGAGAGAGTGAGGGAAATATAGAGTGAAACAGAGACACACACACACATACAGACAGATTGAGGAAGAGAGAGAGAGAGACAGAGTGGAGAAGAGAGAGACTCAGATAAAGACTGAGAGAGAAGGAGGAAGAAACAGAGAGAGAGAACAACAGAGACACTGAGAGAGAGAGAGAGACAGAGTGGGGAAGATAGAGAGATACTCAGATAAAGACAGAGAGAGAGAGAAATATGGAGAGCAACAGAGACACACACACAGAGAGACAGAGTGAGAAAGAGAGAGAGACAGACAGATAAAGACACAGAGTGAGAGAGAAACAGAGAGAGAAACATTGAGAGAGAGAGTGAGAAAAACTGAGAGACAGAGATAGAGGGAGCGAGACAAAGAGAGTGAGAGAGAAACAGAGAGACAGAGAGAGGGACGGAGAGAGAAACAGAGAGACAGAGATAGAGATATAGAGAGAGAGAGAGACAGAGTGGGGAAGAGAGAGACTCAGGTAAAGACAGACAGGGATAGAGAGAGAGAGAGTGAGGGAAATATAGAGAGCAACAGAGACACACACACACAGAGACAGAGTGAGAAAGAGAGAGAGAGAGACAGATAAAGACACAGAGTGAGAGAAAATCAGAGAGAGAAACAGGGAGAGAAACGAAGACACTGAGAAAGAGAGAGACATTTAAAGACAGAGAGAGAAAGAGAGAGAGAAAGATGCTATAGGGACAGAGAGATACAGAGGCAGAGAAAGAGAGACAGGGAGAGATAAGCAGAGTGGGAGAGAGAGAAAATGTGAGAGAGACACAGAACGAAAGAGAGCACAAGAGGGAACTATTCAGAAAATAGTAAAGACAGAGAGAGAGAGGCTGAAACAGAGACTGGAGAGAGCGTGACAGAGAACG